GCGGTTGGTCCTTGTGGTCCTGATTGACCGGGGTAGTTAGCGGTTGGTCCTTGTGGTCCTGATTGACTGGGGTAGTTAGCGGTTGGTCCTTGTGGTCCAAACTGGCCTGGATAGTTCGCAGTTGGTCCTTGTGGTCCTGATTGTCCCGGGTAGTTGGCGGTGGGTCCTTGTGGACCAGCAATAGCAGGGAAGTTGGCAATTGGACCTTGTGGACCAGATATACCGGGGAAGTTAGCTACAGGACCTTGTGGTCCGGATTGACCAGGGAAGTTGGCTACTGGTCCAATTGGACCAACTTGTCCAGGAAAGTTAGCAACAGGACCTTGTGGACCAGATTGTCCTGGAGCACCTACTTTTGAATAATCATAAATGTTAGCGTTTAATCCGTAAAGACTTTCGGCAGTCGAACAATCAAACTGATTCCACCAGACACATACGAAGTATTGTTGATGGAAAATTGTTCCATTGGGGCATATAAAGTCATATTTAATATCGTTTGAACAAATATGGAATACTTGGCATCTGGTTTCAGTGTCAGCATAGTAACCTGGCAATCTTTGGTTACAAGTAAATGAAGTTTTTGGTATTTCAGATAATATTGGATAATCAGTTCCTGGTTCACCAGGAATAGCAGATAAATCTCCACCTTCATAAGAACCATCATCGGCATTACCACTTGGTGAGTTTCCAGCTCCAAAACCAGATCCAAAGCCACTGGGTCCTTGTCCACCAGCGTTACCTCCGAAGAAGTTGCTAGGTCCTTGTCCACCAGCATTTCCACCACCAACACTGCTTGGTCCTTGTCCACCAGCGTTACCTCCAAAGAAGTTGCTAGGTCCTTGTCCACCAGCATTTCCACCACCAACACTGCTCGGTCCTTGACCACCAACGTTTCCACCGAAGAAACTGCTAGGTCCTTGTCCACCAGCATTTCCACCTCCAACACTGCTAGGGCCTTGTCCACCGAATCCATTGGCACCATAATTTGGTCTAGATCCACCTACATTACCACTACCGTATCCATTTGATCCTTGTCCGATGCCACTGCCTCCAAAGTTTCCTGAAAAAAAATGAATAAACATAAACAAATCTAATATACTATGAATTGTTCACTCAGTCAGTACCAGGTGAGCTACCGGATCCAAAACCACTTGATCCCGGGCTGCTTCCAAAACCAGCTCCTTGTCCAGGAGCGCTACTGCCGCCATAACCTGAGGCACTGGTACTTCCAAAACCAGTTGTTCCTGCATTGCTCCCAAAACCAGTTGGTCCTGCATTATTTGCACTTCCATAACTACCCGGATAATTTCCACTACCAAAACCAGTTGAACCTGGTGCTCCATTGTTTCCACCAAATCCACTTGGTCTCGACCCAGATCCGCTACCTGATCCAAAACTAGATCCTGATCCACCAGCATTACTAACACCGCCATATCCGTTACCACTTTGAGGTGCTCCTAAACTCTCTTGACCACTTGGTCCATAGCTCGGTTTTTGACCAGAAGAACCATCGCCTGATGGGCCATATCCTGAAGATGAGCCAGTAGAGAAACTTCCCGGTCGCTGGGCAGTGGTACCAGGGAAGTTAGCAGTAGTGAAATCTTGAGGAGCAGATGTTGGGTAAGCGGTTTGGCCACCATATCCACTAGTATAACTCGGTGTGCCTGCAAGTCCAGTCGAACCAAATTGGTCAGATTGTGTTGGATATGATCCTGTGCTTGGGAAAGGAGTAGGGTAGCTAGTACCCGAAGGTTTGGATACTAATCCATCGTTGCCATATGGCCTTGATGTAGTTGGACTGTTCAAAGGATTCGACGGTTTGTTGTAGTTATAACCACTTTGTGCCTAAAATATATAATTCATATTAATTTAATAATATATAATTTTTATTTTATAAATGAAATATGTATAAATTACTTACCAATGTATGATGAGATAGTGCACAAAGGGCAACTGAAACAATTAAAATATAACATGTTAAAATTATTTAAATTATTTCAGGATAAAAGTGTAAACATTGTTATTAACTACATAACGTCATTACAAAAAAGTGAGAGTGAAAGAAAATCTAGTATAGTTTTAATTATTCAACTGTTTGAAGAGTTTACCTTAACCTTGTTAAGATTTAAAATATTTTTTAGTATTATGACACTAAAATCTATTGTTAAGTTTAACGACTGACTTTGCCAACTCTAACTTGTGAAAACCGAACATTACCTGTATAACACACGACCTCATTCTCTATATATTTTTACACATTTTCTCACGAAAATATCAACGGTTACGCAATAGTACTTTATTAGCATGTTGTAAATATAACTACTCTTAAGACATTATTTAAAAAAAAAGTAACTAAAAAAACATCACTATTTAAATTAATAGCATTATCTATGAATTAAACAATTATTTCTATTTTAAGGTTAAATAATAAATTCTCCGTTGAGTTATTTATATAAAAATATAAATAATTAATTTTGAATATATTTATTAATAATGCTTGAATAGTTTTATAATTTTTAATGGTAGGTATGTATTGACAAAAATGATTAAAATGTTAAATTTAAATAAATATTGTAATAAGTCACAAAATATAGAATTTTAATAATGATGATTGCAAGAAAACAGTTTTGTTATTCGTTGACCATTTCAAAACAACAGTTAAAAATACTTTATTAGGTGAACAAATGATTGTAACGAAAACGTAGATTACAATTTATTCTGAGTTTGCTTTATATGCAGCGTTCGTGCTTGGTTGAGGACCGAATTTTATGATAATAGAAATTATTCAAACGAAACAATTCGCGCTCGTATACATATTTCAATGAAATTATATCAGAACGTTCGAGATACAATCTTCCTGTCCGGAGTTCGCGCATTGTTGACTACTGGTATGTTTAACTTCCTCCGTTTGACGGCGCGATTCGTCAAGTGGAACAATTATTATTATACTATACGGGCGATATTGTTGTGTATGTTTGTGTTCTTAGCGAACAAAATGAATAATTCTGAGTACACGGTGAACCTATCGGTTTTAGACCATTTTGCAAGCTGTTTTGGTTTGCCGGATTCGGACAAATTGAGCAACGGGCGCCCGGAGGAGAACGATCGTCTCTATCGTTCGGTCACGACTTCATGCACGAGCTCTGTTTACGTTTCACTCACCGTCGTGTATTCTTTTGAAAAACCCGATGAAATATAACCGTCGATATGTGTACCGTCTCCGCGAAAGAGAGACGACACATACCTAATGTATACATATATAGATATTTGTTTATTTCTTTGCCCCTTTCCCTGCACGGAGATTCCCATTGTCAATGTTGTGAAACGATTTTTGAAAGTTCACAAGCCGCGGTGGAGGAAAAAATTCTTTCCGAAATGACACATTTTATCCCACGAAGTTGACCGCGAGAGACACGTATTCGGGATGCGAGTCCGCGATAACCCCGGGAGTTACGGGAGTTCATTCGATGCCAATTACGATGTTTTACGTAACGACTGCGGACGAATCGCGGCGCACCGGATCAAGGTCGGCACGGGATCTTGCCGTGGAAATTATTATCAAACATACAAATTGGGTTGGACGCGCACCCACAGCTAATCCGATATCACGAAGGCAACGATTACGAACGATGCACAGGTATTTTTTGTTCGCTGTCGAAATTTCGCGAAAAACAGAATATGCCCGGTGATTGTTGGTGTGCTCCAGTGATAATAATTGGTAAAGAAACCGAACTCGTAATGCCGTCGACGAACAAAACACACGCAAACTCACATGCTGCGTGCCGCGTGTTTGAGACCGAGTTTGATCTTTCATCGATCTCGACGAACACGAATATCTTTGGGATAAACGTTTGGGGGATGCATTAGCGATGATAAATATACAGACAACGAATTGTGCGTATGTGAAGGAGGTGCACTGTAGATGGAGGCTAAAGGAGGCTGATCAGTCGGTTCTAAAATCAAAGTAATAACGATGTCGGATTGTTAATAATCGTACAATACTTACACAGCAAACGTAAGGAAAACGTGTTCATGTTGATTTGTGTCGATCACCAGCTGAAAAATAAAAAAATATTCATAAATGTTAACGAAACGGGTAGTCGCTAGTACAGCTATACGCTCGCATTCGATACACACACACAAACAGCTATTTTAATATTAGTTTATTGTCACGTGGCTTTCGCGATCAATAACAATGCAGAGAAACAGTGACGTTGCGTAACTCAATATCGGATCACGTGGTGGTTCATTAACAAAAACCGCATCGGAATTTCACAACAAACACTAATTTCCGCAGAACTAAATTTATAATTTCGCGTACGTCCTTCGGTTCATCGGTTCCGACCGATCCGCGTGTGTGTCAAATCGGCAACGGGTCCGCGGTGAGTGCGTGTCGTTTAATTACAACAAATGTCCGACAATCGTCCGGCCCGTGGTCAACGATAACCATCCGATAATTGTTGGTCGACCAAAGCTCGCACCGCGTCGTATTTTGTTACGATAAACTATGCATAATCGTGGTGATCGATTGGACCGAATGAGGTCGGCTCGAGATCGATCGATTGTCCGACGGGGGAAATCCGGTCGCGGTTCCAACGAGAAGGTAACGGCCCGGTCGTGACGGACACGATTTTTCCCCAAGGGTTGTGGGCACATCGGCTTCGCTGGCCGATATCGGACAGCACGGTTTTTGGAGGAGATCCGTCGTCCGATCAAATCTGATCGGGGCAGACAGTAAAAATATACTACCGCGATAATATCGCCATTCGTGCGGGATTTCGATTCGCAGCCATCGACGTAATTGTTGAATTATATAAAAATCCTGAGTGTTGTAGAAGATATTACCGTGAGAAGACTCACGTGAGCAGGATACGTATAACGTAAATAAGGATGTTTACCGAGAAAATTCTCCACGGGGAAAAATACCATTGGTACACCCAAGATTGCGATGGGAAGACAACACAGAGAGAGAATATCAATGGAAAGAAACTGTAGGCAATCATACCGGACGGTTAAGTCTAGAAGGCCGAATAAGAAGAAGTTAAGGTGATTGTACACGAGTGAACACGCATACGACTTCGTTCGTTGCAGTCTACGCGAGGACTGTGGTTTGACGAGGGTTTAGACGGGTTGAAGAACGAGTTATCGTTATGGAAAGCAGTGCAAGAGACGTACGAAAACACGTGCAAAGTCGCACCGCGAACAATCGTGTCACTTATCGTGCTGTTAGACCAGCATATACAAAGGAACCTCCCGGACGTTCCCTGGCAATAATGTGTACCGTCGCGCGTCCGCAGTTACAATATTGTTCATAATAACCTAAATATCATTTTGTTGCTCACAGTGCAGTGTACGGCGGCCGTATGCAAATAACACATATAAATGTATACGTGTATACGAGTCGAGTGATTTTTTTTTTCATTCCGCGCGAATCACGTAACATTTTCCCAAACGATTGTTCGCCGTTACCGCCGCCGTTGTTGTTGCGCGTGTAGGACGCTGCGACGGATTTCTCACACTCAAGAACGTACGACCGTTGTTCCAATTTCGGATGCGACCCAGTGTCCGTTACCGTACCGAAAATGGACGATATTTCGTAACCGATTAATGCCAGTCAATTAACCTGGGGTGTAAGGTGTTGCTCATGCAACAACGAAGAAATACACACAAAATAATAATTACTTTTATTGCTGCTGATCGCTACGAGTGCTATATAAACGTTGTGTTTTTTCCCGACGGAAACTTTGCCGTCACACAATGGAAGATTATTCCACTGTTATTATTATTATTATTATTAGCATCAATAAAATTGCTGCTACCCTGCGCTCCGTTTGCGCGCGCGTCGGGTCGCAACCAAAAACTTCGTATTTCGGTCATCTCGGTGCGGACCGTCGGCTCCAGTTTTCGTGCGCGGCCTCCGTCAACCGAATCTCACCGCGCCACGACGCTCTCTCGGTATTGTTGCAATTATTTTTCACAGACAATAATACTGTGTAATAATTATGATCGATCGCCGCCGCAGCTACTGCTCACATAGATCGAATGCAACGGAATGCGATCGTACATTCTATAACGCACCGTGACATTAATCGATTGTTATCACATCGTTCTAATCCTACCGCTATCATCGGTTCTCGTCCTTTTATTTTTTATTTTTAACGGTAAATCATTTAAATTGATAAATTACGCTCATCAAAATCATTGTGATCGGTATTTTGGAGGAAAATTAAAATGTTTAAAATCAAATTATCATAATATACGTGATATATATAGGTATATAGTATAACAATATTTTTTTTTTGTTCATGAAAAAAGCTTGATGTTCGAACCACCGAAGTACAATTTGAGGATCGCTTCCTATACATTTATTGGGAAAATTAAATTACTCAATCATATTTTAACAACCATAAACTTTTTAAACTACTTTAAAATATCTCGGGTGCTCGCAAATTAAATTTCAGCAGGTATCTTATGATTTATCAATCGAATAAAAGGTTAATTTTTTTTTTTCAATTTGCACCACTGTGCTGACGTTTTATTAAATTTTTAATATGATTCGTGGTTTTGAATTTTTAACTGTAATAAAAAACGTTTAAAATTTTGTTGCCAGACTAATAATTAATTTAAGGTACAGTTTCTCGTTTTTGTTTTTAGAATCATGAAACATTATAAGCACTTTTTCGTTTCATCGAATATACATATAACTGTCAGTGTTTTTAGTAAATACAAGTATAAACGTGTGGAGTAATATCATAAGAAATTGTTATACATGATATAAAGTTACACTAGAGCATGTATAGAAATCGAAAATTCCAGTTATGGTATCATTTGAAAAGGACAATGGAACTAAGTCATGATATCAAAACTAATAATCCTTTAAGGAAACATAATATTTGTTTTAAAAAGAAAAGATAACGTTTTTTATCGAATTACAATCATGGTATGGAAAGGCCATTAAGATGCGTTGTCCTTCACATTGTAATCAGACATCGTTGTATATTATATGTTAGATTAATACGCCCGACCCTGGTTTTTAAATTTTAAATTTTTCGTAATAAATGCTATTTTTTGTTTTACAGTAACAAATAATTATTATAAATGTTAATTTGAATAATAATAAAAAAAAATCGTCTATTATTTGTCTGTTTTTTAACGAATTCAGAAAAAAATGTATGTTTTGAAACTGATATAGGATAATTATGCTATTTGATGTTTAATAACCAATTAATGTTTTCTATTTTAGTTTACCTAATAAAATAGTATTATGAAATTCTTTAAAATAATCAAAACTCGTTTGAATAACGTATAAAATAAGTTCATCCCGGTAATATAATATTGAACTATGTAAATAAATATCGAATTATATAATATTTTTCTAACGATCACGATGCGGTATTGCTCGAAAACATTCATAGAGGTAAAATATTATACGTTTAAATGAAAGTGAACGAAACGTGTGCGCGCAGTAACAAAAGTCGTGTGCATCTATATAGTACTTGCGCTTTTATACAGCCGTATACGATTAATCGGCGATGGCGTATTAAATAATATATTAATGCTCGGTAAGATTCTCTCAACGAGAAATATATTAACGTTTTAATTATTAACGTATGATTAACGTTCCCTTTTCTCGGGTTAGAAAATAAATGTTATTCTAAGAATGGATTTAACAGTTTGTTTTCATGTTTGGACAATGTTCTTCAAATTATCGTTTCAAAATTGAAAATCTACTTGAACCATTCGAACTGGTAGGTACGTCGGATTGGTTTTGAACTGATATGAAAATTTATTTGAAATTTCTAAGTAGAGTACAACATAATACGTTTTCACAACGACTGTGGTGAAATATTTAATTCGTTGTACAAAAAAAAAAAAAAAAATAAAATAAAATAAAATATAAATCGGTATTACTGAAATTTAATGGTATGAAAAAACGAGACTTTGAAAGATGACCGTCGTTCGATGTGTATTTGAAATTTTCACTGCGTTAATGATGCGCAAAATACATGCCGACTACAAGAACACGTTTCTAACGTACGGATTCGCACGGCAAAAAGTTTATTTTATTTTCGTATCGTGTACCGAAAGACGGCTAAACCCGAACTCGTCCTTAAAGACGATAGAAAACGGTAAAGAAACTATCAACGACTTACCTTTTTCTTTCGACGGATGGTGTTGCGAGCTGCTGCTGCAACGATGTGAGAAACGGCGTACGGCGCGGATGATCGAAATGAGCCGCAAAACAACAAACGAGTGATGGAAAGATAGATAGAGAGAGAGAGAGAGAGAGAGAGAGACAGAGAGATAGAGAAAACCGATCGCACTCGGAGACTTTAATGCACGTGATGCGCGGTGCACGGACTGCTTGCTGGTGCCGTTACCTGGTCCCTGAGCGGTGAACTGTGAATGTTGGATTTCGGGAACTCGCGGTTATTTATAGTTCGGTTGGTCGAGGTAAAGTTCCGACGTCCGTGGGGGCGAATCACAGCGCGGTGGGGTCACGCGCGCCGGCCACGACGAACCCCCGGACGGGCGGTGCGCACTTTCACGTGAGGACGCACACAGGAGAAGCGCGAGGTCGCGCGTGGACCGCCACCTGACGCCGCTCGCGCGCACCTTCGTCGTCATTGCGACAACACCCAACCGATCACCGTAAGAGTTTTCTGGCCGACGGATATACGCGGACCGACCGCGGCAGTCATTCTCGTCCAACGCCGCCTGACGCGCGTACTGAACCGAACGGTTTTTTTCTGTTTCGGCAATTTTTCTGCCGGGCCGCCACGCGGATTGTTCATCGCTATATCAGCACCGCAACACGTTTCACCGGAGTTTTCCCGTCCTACACCGCCGCGGTCTCGTACCGGACCTACGTTTCCTGAACAGTTCGACGACCGTTTTTCCCCAGTCCGGTCCTGCGCGATCGTGTAACGTGTAATTTTCGGTCGTTCTTTTCGATCGTCCCGCACCACTCGTTTTCACAGCGCCTCGGGGGTTTTTTTTCTTCGTTTTCCAGATAACATTTCCGCGCGCTTTCTCGATGTAGAGTGAAGTAAAGGTGTTTTCATGACATGGGCAATTTCGAGATATTATTTGATGAACATATTGTGTAATTCCTTATTACACTATTGACTTAAAAAATATATTGATCTTTAAAATGATTGTGTTTTTAAGAATCCATGTAATTTTCATACACGTATAGTATATTAAGGAATTATATTATACGTTCAACAAATAATATCACGAAATCGCCTATGCCCCAAAAAATACCTAACTTTATCCCACTCTTTTGTACACAAATCGAATACCGCACGCTGTTGTCGAGCCGTAACGGTCCATATAAGACGAACAGACAGTACAGTCTACGATTTTACTGACGATTGTACAAGACGATGGATCCCATAAGAATGCACAGGGTGTTCAAGAAATTTAATGTTGCCGTTGGAAAAATCATTCTGTTCGTAAACTCGTGTTCGATTGTACTAGTGCGATCTGCAAGCGTTTAAATATTTCATTGAAATCTGTCGTTTTAATGTTATAACTAAAAAAGTGATTTACATATTATGTACGTAATATATTATATTATATTATATTATATATTATGTCTGGTTTCGAATTCTAAAGTAGAATAGTTTTCTAACAAAATCGACGAACGAAAATCCAATATCACACTACCAGTTAGTTCTTTATGTGTAACCAGCTAAAGATAATACACCCTACAAAGTTTCCATGCTGCTCTCTGATCGTCTAAGCTTTTAGTAATTTTTCTTCGAGTTGTACGCATAAAAGTATTATGTTACAGAATATTAAATTTCAAAAAGACATAACCATTTACGAAATAGTAAAAGTATAACTTTTTTTAAAAAAGTATTAATAGAAATATTAAATTTTAAATAGTAGTAAAAATAATCTTAAACGTGCTTTTAGTGGTTTATTTTCACCATGTCATAAAATCTCACATTTAATTTTTCAATGCCCAAAAAATGTATTTGTCATTTTTTCAATAAAACTATTAACTATGACATATAAAACTAACGCTCTCTTCATATAGTTCTGTCTATAATTGTCGACAGAACTGATCATTTGAAATTTATGTAACTGAGCTGCTTGCTGTACTGAATAATATTCGCCGTTGCATTAGAAATACATACTTAACGGTTTTCGACATGTTTTATTTTACATTGATTTTAAATATTTTACATAAAGCTTTTCTAATCTAGGTAAACCGCATTTTTCTTAAAAATTAACTTCAATTTATAAATAAGGAAACAATTTTTTCAATAAACAGTACCCTGTACTTCTTCCAGAACAACTCATAAAAAAAAAAAAAATTGTGAAACATTACTAAAAATATATATAAAAAAAAAAAAGTACTTGAAATTATATGCTTGCAGTAAGTTCATTATATTTCGACATTCCATACATTTTTTATCTCTTCGTCTCGAATAAGATTTATGATTTTAATAAGTAAATAAATGTACCAATATAATTTACTAAAGCGGTATAAAATTTAATTTTTTTATCAATTGTATAATCATATAACTGTTGAGTTCCAATGTAACAGACATATAGTAACATTAACAATGCCTTGATGTCTTGTATTTTATTACATACTTAGTAACGTTCAACTACTTAATCTTTTAATAAACAAATATAAAATCTTTTAGTCAGACATTTAATATCATTCATATTCTTACAAGTTTTCTATAAAACATAACTAATGAGTTTCAGCTCAACATTTTTGATTATTTTTCCACAAAATATTTTTATACGTACTTTATTCGCATTTGAGAATTTATTTTTCAAAACAACAAGCAGTTATGAACAACTTACCTTTAATATTTTGATAGATTATTTGGTTTTATTTCAGAATTATGAAAAAGCTATTTAAAAATATAATATGACCATTACCTTAAAAATTATAACATTGAAAATTATATAACTAGGTATACGATTTCAATTAGCAGATAAAGAATAAAAAAAACAATAAAAATAAAACAAAATGTATCGTAGGGAAATGTTAAAATCACATGACATACTTTTAGACCTTAAATTTGAACGCGTCTTGAGAAATATTCTGGTGGTAAATTGTCTTATGGCTTAAACATTATTAAAATATGTTACAATGACATTACAGAAAAAAATATATATTATTAAGATAATTGAGTAATATTTTGTGGATTCATAATATTAAAGTTTAAAAAATTTTATAATTAGTATTAACCAAAAGTTCGATTCGTAATTATTTACTCACTTGGATTGAGAAAAATTTGTGAAAAAAATGAATTAACTATTATTTTTAAATTTATTTTTATTTATTCATTTCATAAGAAATCACGAGTATATAATTATTTCATTAGAATATAATTTTATGTATATTAACTGTATAAAAATCTTCGAAATATAAATTTAATGAAATTTAAACCTCATAAAATCATAATAAATGTACCTATATAATTTGTTGAGTTTTACCAATGAAAGGTTTATAACTTTCCAAAATCAGTTTTTTATTTTATTTTTAATAAACAATATAGTTTTATACACTTGTGTAAATGTTGAAACTATGTTGTTAACCATTTGTACAATTTAAAGTTTTCATTTTTTACAGCTTTTCAATATTTATAGGAATATTAAAATATATCAATATAAATAAGATACTTGTAGGTAAATACATATGAAATCATATATTTTCACAAATCCAGCATGTTTATTGACTACAACCATTGATTCAACGGCACACCTTTAAAGCGTGTCTTTGAAGTTAAAAATGTAGGATTCATATATTCGTTCGTAAACTTTTGTTACATTTTCGTTCTCATATTAAATATATCTCTCGCAAAGCCTTAAGAACCTTAGGATTTATACGACTTGATTATACTCAATTTGATTCAGCAACTTGTTTAGTCGCATTATATTGTACTCTAGTAAGATCTAACTTGAATAATGGATCTTTAGTCTGGAATCAATTTCTTCAGGTCAAGATCAAAAAAATTGAAAGACTTCAAAGAGTTCAATATTGAGTTTTATTATTGCTTCCTTAGTCTTGTTGGTTTCCTTTTAATAATCGACCACCCTCAGCATAATTATTCACTTGTCATGAGAATATTAAAACTCTGTTCGTTAGAAATCAGATGGGATAGGATAAGTCAATTATTTTTATTCAACCTACTTCACGGTAAGATTTACTTATCCCGATTCCTTGAGCGCATAAGTCTACAAGTACTAAATGTCCATACCCGAGTAAAAGAACAGTTTCTCTTTCTTACCCCAAAGTCTAACTTTTTAATCCACTAATCAGAGCTATGCGTTCTTCAAATATTAATGATTTTGATACATGGCCTCAATAACGTTTTCTTTCTGTTTGGGTTTTTTATTTTACCAACTACTTCTATTATTTTACTGTTATTATTAAAAGCATTCTATATTTAATTATTTATTTATTGACTGAAGTAAGATATTTTTACCATTATAAATAAGGTTATTTCCAATGTTTTGATATATATATATATATATATTTGAGACAATTTATTTAGAAATTATATTTAATTTTTTTTATTTATATTTATTTAATTTATTTTTAAATATCTCAAAACTTTATAGATTAACCTTTTTTGTTTAATAACACTTCGAGTTTGTGTACATATACGGAATTTCACCAAAAATCTTTTTTTTAACAAAATGACTTACCACCATTATTTTCAGGTTAAAAGACGATCACTTTCGATCCTATTTCTCACTGACTAATCTTAATAAACCTGTGTTAGTTCGGTTTTTTACTTTTTGTATCAATATAATACTCATATTTCATGAGGGATAAGAATTTTAATGATGAGTTTCTTATTTTATGCGATAAGTTCGAGATCAAGGGTACAGGTGTAAATGAATAAATTCTTCAAACAATAATGAACATCTTACTTGAACTCAAAGACTTCATAATGTACCTAATAATATGATCATAATGCTGTTTTAAATTGTATTACCGACCTTGGTTAACGAACTCGTTAACTCGTGTTATTTGATGTACATAACAAAAATATGGTTAATTAAAAAAATGTATAACATTTGATAACAAAGTGAGTATACCTAAAAACTGAAATTTTAGTATAATTTCTACTTTATATATATATATTTATATTTGTATGCTTATACTTGCCTATTATTATTTATACCGATCGTTATTTCTTTTAAAGTATAGTAAATGGGTAAAATACTTTAAACGTCTTTAATAGTGTGCCTAGTTCTTTCATTACAGTGTTCAAACAGCAGAACTTAAACTATAAATTAACAAACGCGAAATGCGCGTAATGTACAAAACAAATTATTAATGCATTTATTCGTGATAAAACATAATTTAAAATACATTTTTGATGAGTCATTAAACAGTTTTTTTAAAGTTTAAATCAATCGAAGGTTATTTTATTACAT